GCAATTCTTCAAAACTATAAGAAGATTCCAAGAGCAAGTCTACAAAGAAAAACATACTTTCATATCTCTGTTGCATAGATTGGATAGATTGTTTCCAAAATCATTGGATAATCAGGACACCCTTCCCATGATTTTTGCTAGTGAGAACAAACCTTAGATGCATTTTTCTAGAATGCTCTTCAATCCTATTTCTGGAATGGAACAGAATTATCATCTAGCATTTGTAACCACAGCTCCTCAAGAACAATGTATATCTTGTCCCTTTCCATGATTTTTGATAGAGAGAAAAACCTTAGATGCATTTTTCTAGGATGCCCTTCAATCTTATTTCTGGAATGGAACAGAATCATTATCTAGCATTTGTAACCACAGCTCCTCAAGAACAATGTATATCTTGTCCCTTTCTGGATGCAGAATATCTTCCGCAAAGAAAACATGGACCCTATCCTTAATTTCTATCCAGCTCTGTCCTGGAACTTTCTTAACATCCTTATGCTTCATCATGCTCCTCAGCCTGGCAACATCTTCCCAACTCCCAGAAGAAGCATAAGCATTGCACAGCAGTATATATGCAGAAGAATTGCAGGGATCGATTCTCAACATATTCTCTGCAGCACGTTTGGCAATATCAACATTCCCATGGGTTTTACAGGCAGATAGTAGAGTTTTCCACACAACTATATCAGGATCAAATGCCATTCGATTAATAAACTCTTCAGCTTCATTCAAATGCCCAGCACGAGCAAGTATGTCAACTACAGAAGAGCAGTGCTCTCTTGTAGGCATAATTCCAAACTCAGTTTCCATTATGTTGTACAATTGCCACCCTTCTTCAACCAGTCCCACATGACTACAAGCTGTGAGGACTCCGAGAAATGTTACTTGGTTAGGCTCCACTGCTAAACTTCTCATTTCCTGAAACAGTGTAAGAGCTTCCTCTCCATATCCAAATTGAGCATACCCCACGATTAAACTGCTCCATGAGACAACATCAGGAGTTTCCATTGAATCAAAGAGCTCCCTAGCATATCCAAGGGATCCACACTTAGCATACATATCGATGAGTCCATTCATGATGAAGATGTCAAGCACAAGCCCAGTTTTCACAGCAAAGCAATGAATTTGGTTCCCCATTTCTAGAGATGACAATTCTGCACCAGCCCTTAATAAATTACCTAAAGTAATATTGTCTGGCTTACATTGAGAACTGAGCATTCGCTTAAATACTCTAAAAACTTCTGAAGCCTCGTTATGTTGCAGGCATGCTGCAAGAATTGCATTCCAAGAAACTGAATCTACATCTTTTTTCATCTCTTCAAAAACAATATATGCATTACATAGGTCTGAACACCTTGAATACATGGTGAGCAGAGAGTTGCATACAGAAATATTGGACTCAAAACCTGTCTTAATAATATAGGTGTGAACCTGCCTACCCTGAGGTAGAGCCAAAGGGTTAATGCATGCACGAAGTAAAGGATTTCAAGGTGATATCATCTGGGATCAACCCCAGATGCCTTGGTTGAGAAAAAAATGACAGAGCCTCACTAATATCACCATCATTTGCAAAAGCATAGATGATAGCATTCCAGGATACTATATCTGNNATTTTGTGCACATCCCATGTATCTGCTTTCCATATTCTAGATTTTGGAGGCCGCTACAGGCACTAAAAGCACTGCCAAATATAAACTCGTTTGGTCGGAATTCACCCTGACAGAGCATTTCTTTAAAATGGCTCAAAGCTTCCAACTCATAAGCAAGTTGTGAAAAACCAGCAATCATTGAACCCCATGAAATTAAATCCTTTTTGACAATGTGGTAGAAAACATCACATGCATCAGTGATTTGATTGAACTTTGTGTACATTGCAATAAGAGCATTTTGTGCAATAAGATGAGAACCACATTCTGATTTTATGATATGAGCATGGAGCTGCCTCCCTAATCCAAGATCATTCACACCTGAGCATGCTTTTACAATGCTTCCAAAGGTGAATTCATCTGGAATAACACCTGATTTTAGCAGTTCAAAGTACAATTTGATTGCATCATCCTCTTGGCCATTCTGCGAATATGCAGTAATAACTGAAGTATAAGAGACTACATTTCGTAGGGGCATGTCGTTGAAAACCTTTCTTGCATCTTTCAAAGAACCACATTTACCATACATATTAAGAATATGATTATGAAGAATAATGTCTGGCTGGCAGTTGGATTTCAAAATATGATTGTGGATTTTTCTGCCATGCCATAGAGATCTCACAGAAGAACAGGCACAGATTAAACAAGCATAAGTACTTAGATTAATTCGGAAGCTTGTATTTTTTTGCAAGAAGTCAAATGCTTCAAGAGCTTCTTTGTAAAGCTTTTGATTACACAGGGAGCTTATGTAGTCATTGCTAAAGTGTTCGGTCCTGAAGTTGGTGAATGATGTTGATTGTACATTTGGTCGGGAGTAGCTGAAGGTGAATTGTGGTTGTGATCTGAAGTTTCTTATCATGTTCTTGACAAAAAAAAGTGTGTTTTTCATATTCTGAATTGGAATCATCTGAGTAAAGGTTCCGAGTGTTTGTTGACTCTGACACTTCCTTCACATGAATGTACCAAATTCTCATATCTGTGACAAAACCTTCTGAACCAAGAGTAGCACCACCTAGCTATATCCTCAATAGCCGCAAGATCCTAGTTATATGTGATTGCATCTACTAGCAATTCGAAGAGATCCTACTGATCTCCCAGCACCAAAGGAACCAAGGAAGAATGACCAAAAGCAAGAGTCATCAAAATAATATGCAAACAACCATTTGAAGAAACAAAAATGCCCTACCTTCGCATCTAAATGAAGGACCACTCCTGTAATTCTATCTCCCCACTCAATAGATGAGGTTACTGATTCTTAGATTGTAAAGCTATCATAAAATTGGTAAGACTGTAAGGACTGTAAATTTTGCCAAATTCCAGCAACACTTGCTTGCATCAAATTGAAACTCTTTGCTCCATGATGATTTCATATCTCGTTACGAGCATGGTCTATATAAGAAAAATTTAACGATCACTAAGAGCAAACAGACAGTTCACTAAATGATTCAACCCAAAGAAAATTGGCGAAGACAAAGCAAAAATACCAAACCCAGTCGAACCGACAACGACACTTTTCACAAAACAGCGTAGATTTTCAATCAGTTTTTTTCTTTTTAGAAAAAGATAATAGCGTTTCCAGCCATCATCCTTCCAACATTTTGAGAGCCTTCGTCCGAGATGCCGAGCTAATACCTCAAAGAGGCAATTCGTCAAGCAACACGACTGCAATTAGGATGAAGACTACATAAGAGAAGCTTGCAATATTACATAAGACGAAGATCCAATCTTAATATTGTTTATAACAACAAAAAGAAGGATGGTTTACGCAGTAGAAAAAGGAAAACAAACTAGAATCATAAGTGAATGAATTAACAAACAAAAGTTACCTTAAAAAAAAAAAAAAAAATTCTTTTTTCGTTAAATGAGAATGAGCTTGGGAGGAGACCAGGGAGAAGAGAGAGTCAGTGACCTGTCTGGTGCGGCTGTCCAGAGGGAAGAAAAA